TGTAAACACTGTAAGCCCCAGGCTTCGCCCGTCCCTATGCTCCCTGGGAGGCTTCGTTAGGACGTAAAACCAATACTACTACTACTACTACTACTACTACTACTACTTAGGTTCACCAAGTGATGGCAAAGGACCACAGAAGAGTGATCGTAAAACATGATAGTCTCTAATGAGCTAAATGCGGTTAGGGCAATTCATAGAAGTTTGTATGAGTTTATCTTACAGGTCGCCCAAACATTCCTTTTTTGGGCGGCCGCTATGATGGCATCTTTGCCAAAAAGAAAGACCCCAAAGCAGCTAAAAAGCAAAATGGGTATCCAGGTGCGTAGTCTGACCATGATGCCCGGATTGCAAAATAAGCGTGTAGTAAGTAGTCAGCACCGTCAGAGCTAGTAGCGACCATTTCCGGCGCCATTTACAAGCTGCCAGTATAATATTTTGCTATATTTCGTCCTCCCAGGCTTCAAGGCTTCAATCCTAAGAGTCTAGGGCTTGGTAGGGGTCATTCAAAGGACGCGCGGCTTGGGAGCTGCAGCACGGTGGCCCCACTTACCGACACGATGCTCAATGAGTGCGGAGTCACTGGATGATCGTTCGCCGCCATTAGACTAGCGAACGAAGGCTGCTTGCAAGAGTAAGATGAAACTGGAGAAATATCACTTGTCACGATGTTGCCGAGGTGCTGACAACCTGAAAGTGTTTGTGGTGGTTGGTGAGATGTGATTGTGGCCGTTAATGTATTGTGGTTTTGACCGTTCACAGGAAAGTAGAAATAGCCGTGATATGTCTGAGGACTACATATTTAGAGCCTCGAGTATGTTCGCAGTAATTGATTAAATCAGTAGAGGCACAGCCTTTTCAGAAGTCCTGTTAGCTGGTAAGATGTGACCAATGGGACAGGGTAAACTGGTATTGAGAGAGACGATATAAGTAGATGTAATCAGATAGTTGCATGTAAGTGCAAGTAGCCAAGGTAAGCTACAGCGAAGACATAGTATGGGTGGTTGCAGGAATCCAAGAGCAAAAACAAAAAGACATGCTGTCTACAAAGTGTGCTGTAGCCATCAGCCTTTACTGCGCACGGCGTGTAGGCGTCAATGATGGCGTAATTTTTGTATCTTATAGTATAGAAGTAGGCTAGAGTAGTAGGCTAAGAAGCTATTAACAGAACATTGTAATTAGATTATTCACGCGCGCCTGGAAGATTATGATTGTTTGGTCTCAAAGTTTTTGGTGTCCCTTATGAACAATAGTCGGATACTACTAGCGCGTTTTACCCCTGCCCATCCACCCGCCACTTCGCCGTAGCAAATACCGTTATAACAATGTTCAAAACAGATGCAACTTTCACGTTAAACGTAGAAATCTCGTACGCGTTTAATGCACCAAATCTTTTTATTGTGCGACTTATGCAGCGTGGGTTATCAGACAGAATAGGGGGGAGAGTTGATGTTCGTGGGCATGGCCCGTACTAACTTGGGGTTGCGTTGACAGTTGCGCTGACAGTTGCGCTGACAGTTGCGCTTGGGATATCCTTACTCTAGTGTAGTAGTAAGTAACTAGCACATGGGCAATATCCCGAACATCAAAACGATATTTTGCGCCTCGTAGTTGACCCCCTGAACTCCGCGCTCCCACCAACCTACCCTACAGGATTTTATGCAAAAAGCCCTGTATAGGTCAACGTGTCCCACCAGCATTTGTTTCGCTACCACTCTCTGAGGCCAACATCACGTCTGATTTAGACTGCGTTGCGTTCGACTCAGACAAGACCATGGGCACGTACAGATCCCAATGCGAATGCTCATCGCGCAGTATGCTGCATTCATCAGCGAACCTGTTTGCGCGCATACTCACTTGAATTCTTTTCGGTGTCATTTCTATATATGTAAGGTTGTCGTCATTCCGTGTCAGCACCACAGCCATGCGCTGCTGCACAGCCATGAGGCCTAGCTTGTTGGCTAAGAGTAAATTACTACGCACTGGAGCAAGGCACGCGGGGTAAAATGCCAAGAGCTTACGACTACCATGTTCTATTGCAAGAAGCGAACACCGATTTCGAATGAATATGAATATCGAAAATGATTATCACACCGCACTGGTGTTTGTATATCAAGAGCGCGAACTTTACAGGAAATAAGCAGTAGTTGGGACTAGGATTAGTTTAGAAAACGAAAGAGTGGAAATATTTGCCAGCTTCAACGGTCCACTTGTGTGTGCTTGAGTTAGAAGCTATTGTTCAGCTTGTGAGATGTTTATTTTGTATACTACTACCTTTTTAAGGTAGGCTTCGTAAACGTCCAGTACTATTTATAAGCATCCCGTGCGTTACAACAACTAACTCTAACACGCACTTAACAACGAACATTGCAGTCCAGCCATGCTCATTCATATGCTGTGGGATTGAGCTTTCTTACATCCCGAACGGTCCAATCAAAGATGAGGCTCAGCATACTCATTCTTACTGGGGTCGCGATATCCGTTGGAGTTCTAATTCAATATATATTTGAACGGAAGAAGCGAGCGGTATGACTTTCACTATGTTGCAGTCTTGAAGCTCTCCTGACAGCAGAGTAGGAAGATGAAGCTATTAGTCAACGCCATGGTTGCCAGCCGGCTCCTAGGCTTCAGAATCAGAGACCTTTCGGAGTCGATCGACTTTAGCAGATTTTCCGTGCAGACGTAGAGTCACGATTGATGGAACTCTTCCTCTTTCATTTCCGACAAACTGGCAATACGCTTGAACAGAAGTTTCTGGGTACCAGAGCGTACGGCACGATAGAGCCAGCAAATCTTGAGGCAATCTTTTCGACTAATTTCAAAGGTGCGCATAGTTATATATAGCATGTAGTCTTGCTAATGGTGTCTAGATTTCGGAATGGGGCCTCGTCGAGACATCACCTTCCCAATGTTCGGTGATGGCATCTTCACCCAAGAGGAGGCTGAGTGGAAACACTCTCGCGATATCCTCCGACCGCAATTGAAACATCAGCAATATGAGAGTCTCGAGGTATTCCGTCCTGCGGTAGACGATTTAATACACCTTCTTCAAGGAAGCAATGGAACGGTCGACTTGCAACCACTTTTCTTCCGCTTAACGCTCGACACGACTACTGCTTTCTTGTTTGGTGAATCGGTTCGTAGCTTAGTCAAGCCGGAAGCGATCGAAGAGAACACATTCGCGAATGCCTTCAACACTGCTCAACAGTGGGTGACGAAAAGATTTCGACTCCTGGATCTCTATTGGCTCGTTGACGGGAGAGAATTTCGACAGGCCTGTCACAACGTTCACAAGTTTGCCGATCAGATCATTGATCTTAATCTTTCCTCTGAGCGCACTGCAAATGAAGATTCAGAACGATATGTCTTTTTAGATACTGTAGCAAAGAAGACATCGGATCGACATGCACTCAGAGGCCAGATAGTCAACCTCCTAGCTGCTGGTAGAGATACAACAGCATGTCTTCTGTCCTGGACGTTGTGAGTCATGATTCAACGCATTCTATATAGTGTACTACTGATATTTGAGTTGCAACAGCTTTCTACTCATACGCCACCCAAAAGTTATGAAAAAGCTACGTGCAGAAATTGCTTCATTATGCACAACAGACACTCCGCTAAACCGAGATAATCTGAGAAGAATGCCATATCTTAATAATGTGCTCAAAGAGAGTAAGAGATATATTTGTTAAAGTGGGTTTCCTCACAATGCTAAATTACTCAGCTTTAAGGCTCTACCCATCCGTTCCCGTAAATACACGTACTGCAACGAGAACTACGGTCCTGCCAAAAGGCGGAGGGTCAGATAGGAAATCACCAGTCCTTATACCCAAAGGAAGCACTGTGGCATTTAGCGTATATTCTATGCATCGACGGCCGGATCTCTACGGAATGGATGCCGAGCTGTTCCGACCTGAGAGATGGGATGAAGAAATGCCAATGAACAACAACCCGACTAATGCAAGATGGGGTTATCTGCCATTCCACGGAGGTCCTCGAGCCTGTCTTGGGCGTGAGTTGTCTGAACTAGAAAGCGATATTGGAACTTAATAACGCTGACAGTTTATTTCAGTTGACTTCGCGCTCAGCGAAGCTGCATATGTGACTGTGCGCTTATTACAGGGTTTTGGATCTATCAAGCTCCCTGAGGGAGAGCAAGTTGGACTGGTAGGCTTGGAAGAACAAACAATGACACTCGTGATTTCTATCAAGAATGGATGCAAAGTTTGTATAGGCTANTTTCACATCTACCATCAATGGGGTGTTGGTTTGCGTAATCAGCTTCAACATGGTGCACAAGGAAGGACCATACTGTGTTTCCAAACCATGCTTCACTCCTGCATCATCACTGCAGCTTCACTCCATCACTTAGCCTTGAGCATCTCCTGTGCATCAACCCATGGGCTCCTTTACCTGCGGTGTACAACTCTTACTTTTTTTATTGTTGAGACAGTGCTTCCGTTGGCTTGCCAACATAGAGCTGTAGTCTGCGACAGTTTGGATACCTTCTTTGCTATCGTAGTCCTGCTCAAATCCTTGTCGCCCAGGATGGCGCATGGTAATGGCGCTGTCTAAATACCGTCATGTGATGATACTGGCATGTGTGGAAAAATGTCGAGAGAACTTTTTTTAGCTAAAGCCACTCCCTGTATCACGTAAAACCCTGTGTGTCGGAAATGACCAATGACAGGGGAAGGATACCGCCTTTCTCGACATGGTTCTCATTGGTTTCATGGGCGGAGATGCCTGTCGAACGAGTATGCATTCACTTGTCGTACAGAAGAAGAAACATAAGAAATAATTAGAACTAGTTATCGTGGCCACAACGTTTATCTTTGTGCCACTGCCATAATCGGCAATGCCTTTCTCCTCGTCCTGCGATTACATGAAAACGAAGGCCAGAGGTACGACAAAGATATTAAATTGCTTTTTGCGGGTAAGCTTTATGAAAATGCTTTTCGTCTCGTCCAGCTGATCATGTGTAGCCTCCGGTGATCTAAGGAATTTGATCAAGACTATCCGTAGTTTACCGGATTCTTTCAGTCGCCAAATGGACGTCACAGTCAACGACTGGGAGTTTGATGTCGTGGCGCGCAACGCGGTGATACTTCTTTTGATTTTCGCTTCTTTCAACGACAAAACTTCGAGTCAACCTTCATTTGACTCTACAGTCGAGGCACTAATCCATGTGTGGTCCTCCCCTCTTATATCAACCGGGATCAAGGTAGCCTTGGCAGCGGACCTCTGATTAGCGGTATACAAGATCCGGTGGATCCGAATTACATCTGAAAACTGCTGCTTCTGCTGCTTCAATCTGACAGAAGGTATCAGAATTCGAGCTTTCTTAAGTTGAACACAATGAATCATATAAGTTCATTATCTATTGCTATATACCAGTGCTTCATGCAATCTGCTCAGCATTGCTAGGGTTTACTGACTACTTAGCGTCTTGTGGTTTGATATTCGGAGTGCTCAGTCGCGCAGGAGTTCTAGGATGTAGTACAGATCACCTGATTGGCCACCTGATTGCGGCACGGTTGGAAGGATTGCAGCGCAGCGTATCAGACCGCATCCTTCAAACTGCTCATTGGTTGGGAACAATGAGTCATAAGGGCTTACTGCCAATCACTATATACTGTGCCGTGCTACAGTCTGCTGAGCTCCTCGGTACCGCCAAGAAATAATGATGGCTGAGCACGCATCATGAGAGGCACGAAGAGGCAGAACGGCTGTACAGTGTGGTTTTGGTGAGCAGGGTAGAGGTAATTAGCCTGCGGAATCTATCTACAATAGTGATTCTGTCTAACTTGTCAGGAGTGCTGTGCGAACTAGGAATTTAACTATGTAGGAGCAGTGGAAATGCTAAGACCGGCGCTGACTCAGTGGGTGCTGAAATGTGAAATGGATAACCCTGACCTGGTGGCAACCGGGAGAAATTTGATTAAAATGCCCAAGATCTTGGGCAAGCACAATGTAGCTGAGGGGTTGCAGAGGTAGGCGCTGGCTAGATGGGAGAAGGTGGCCAGACACCAGCATCGAGATACGTCGGCAGGCTGACACTTATTTTCAGACAACCCGAACATAATAAAATAACCAAAATAGGGGTAACCGGCGAGAAGAGGGTGACACATTAAACAGCAATAGCGTAGAAAACTAGGCTTATGAATTTAAGGCTCATTAAAATGGACAACAAAGATAGAAACGAGCACCTCACAGCTGTACAGCCTGATTTAGAAGAACCTCTGTCGATCCAATAGCTTGCGTGTAATCTAAAATAGGATTGCAACGGGCAATGCATATACGGTCTCGTTGTATCTGCACTACCCCCAGTGGATTAACTACACAACAAGCCACATCAATCACCGCTCACCTCGACCTTGCAGCCCTCTGCTATCGTCAGAACCACGTTTGATCGCTGCTTCTCAACACCGACTAGCTCAAGACGCTCCCCTTGCGGAAGCCTTATGTCTGAAAATCTCTGGAGGAGGCGCACAATGGTGTAACTAGCTACTGTGAGCGCAAAGTCGGCTGGTAGCACACTCGTTAGCCCAAAATATACGCTTCAAGCTAAGCATGCTCACCTCCAGGGCATCTCCTCGGCCCTCCTTGGAAAGGAATGTAGCCCCACTTGGGATTTTTGAGGTTATGCTTCAAAGGCATATCTTCGTCCCATCTCTCGGGGCGGAACAGCTCCGCATCCATGCCGTACAGATCCGGTCGTCTATGCATAGAGTACACACTGAACGCAACTATGCTCCCTTCTGGAACGAGAACTGGGTCGGTTCTATTCGGTCCGCCTCCCGTGGGAAGTACAGTTGTCTTTAAAGCTGTTCGAACATTGACAGGAATAGGCGGGTAGAGTCGCAACGCTGTGCAGGCTGAGCTCTAGTGCTATGTAGTATTGGAATTGGAGAACATACTTTCTTTGAGCACGTTTGTTAAGTATGGCATCTTCCTAAGATCTTCCCGTGTAGGGTTTGAGCCTGCGACACACATCGCCGCGATTTCTGTGCGCAACTTATCCATAACTTGCTGGTGGCGAACGAGCAAGAAGCTGTGGAAGTCAGCGAAGCACTAGTAAAAGCGCAAGTCGTATTGATTTACAATGCCCAAGAGAGAAGACTGGCTGTTGTGTCTCTTCCCGCCGCTAAAATGCTGATTGCCTGGGCTCGAAGAGTGGTTCGGTTGGATGTGGTCTTTGTGATAGAGCACATGAAACTGTGTGTTTCCGGATATTCAACTTCGGCCGATACCTTCTGCACATGGCCATCGATGCTACGATCTACAAAAGCATGAATGTCCTGGCAGGCCTGGCGGAATTCCTTACTGTCTATCAGCCAGTAAAACCTAGCGAACCTTAGCCTCTTGATAATCCACCGTTGTGCTGTATCAAATGCATCCGAAAAGCGATACTCTTTGGACCCGCGTGCGCCCCTTAGGCTACTATCACACTTGCCAAAAAGGAAGCTTGTGGTGGTGTCGAATGTCATACGGAAGAATAAGGGCTGAAGGTCGACCGTGCCTCCGCACTCTCTGACTGCCTGGACCAACTCATCCACCGAGTCACGGAACATCTCAAGATCGCTGTAATACTTGTGGTGCAGTTGTGGGCGCAACAGGTCCCGGGAGTGTTTCCAGTCAGGACCCTCTTGGGTGAAAATGCCATCACCAAGCATTGGCAATGCAACGTCCCGGCGTGCGCCAATCCCAAAGTCTGTTGGCCATGTCATCTCTTGGCCACTGCCCTACCCTATTCAGCAGGGTAACGCCTACCTTTGGACTGAGTGGACAGAATGGCTTCTAGATTAGCCGGCTCCATTGTGCCAAACACCTTGGTTCCAAGGAACTTTTGTTCCAGCGTGCTTCCAATTTGCCGGAAGTGAAACAAGAACAGTTCCATCAATCGCAACTCTGCATCTGCCTGAACCATCTGCTTAAGGCGATCAAGACCGAAAGGCCAATGAACGTGCAGAGTTGGAGGCGGACGGCACCCGTGACGGATGCTAGTAGTCCTATCTCTCTTGTACAACTTAGCAACGCCGACACCGGATATGTCCCTACTTACAACTCGCTGCCCTTTATAAGCTATATACACGCTGATCGCTCTTGCCATCACCACAGGGACGACTAGAAATAGTACCGCCAACATTGTATGTATCTTCCAGGATGAAATCTGTATCAGGAAGGCAGTGGAGACTTGGTCGAAGCATAATATAAGATGTCTGATGTATCTTGGCATGACTGTCTGTCGTCAGTTTGCTGGTGTTTCATGCTACACTCTTAGGCACTTACGGCTTCCTATTTCCATAAGCAGGTGACCTTTGATTCCACACCAAGGCTCTGTTGCTTAGTCGCAATCTTGCCCAAATAGTACAAATGTCTATCAGTGATGCCATGGGTTGATTTTCTTTCTGACGAGCTGAGAATAATGAATTGATGATATCTATCTAGTGTAACCTCTTTTTTACAGTCGTGTACCAGGTGGATTTATATCCCGCTTACTGATGAGTATGTTCTGGAAGCTGTAAAAGCGCGTGGCGCAATAGTATGGCAGGCCGGCGAACTAGTCAGCTGATGCTTGGCTGTCGCACAGGCTTACCCCAAAATCTCGCAAAGGCGCTGAGATTGATCCTAGGATTGCGCTTATATTGTTTGATTAACCTGCGTTTAGATGGACAAGTCCACTGCCTAAGTCCATATACGAGCCCGGATAAAGATTTCTCTTTCTTCAAACCATTTCAACGGGGGGCTGTGGCAACCTACAGGGTCGTTTCTGTTGGATAATGGATTTATTTGCTAACTATCGCAGTGGGAGCGCGAGTATATATAGGTGAAATATTTGGTGGCTGGGCCCAGCCACCCAAAACCTTTTACCTTCACCTTTTACATTTAACAGTTTCGCCCGGCGTTGATGTTGACGCCAAAAGAACGTACCACTACAATGTACGCAAGCGCCGGTGCCCGTTATCACACCACCAGAGTAAGACCGCGCAGCGCAATCGGCAACACATGTACAAATATTAGTACCGTCTTTCATGACACTTTTGCACAAGGATTGTAGGCTTTCAATCCAACCTCTTATCTAGGCCTGCTATGTATTACATGCCCTCCAAGGTCTGACTCTGGCTACCATTGACACATTGATCCCCAAGCGTAAGGAACTCGCATTAGTGATCCATCAGGCTGCAGTTGCAGAACTCAATGGCGAATCAATGTCATGTCGGTGAGAAATAATGCATGGTTTCTAAAAAAAACAAAGCACATTCTGCGAGGTTGCGTAGCCACAGAACGGTCGGCTGATCATGTAGCCAATCGGTATGCATTTTGAGATACTTATAAACAAAATAGAACGACTAACTTCCCCAGTCCGCTTAATAAGGAAATACGAGAATCTTGGCCATCTCGTGGACGGTCTGCATGAAGACGGGATTTTTTCTTCGCCCGATTCGCAAGGTTCTGCTTGGTTAGCGATTCTCGAGGAAGGGAGCCAGGCGTAAGGGGCAAGTCGTGGTGTGAGGAAGTAGGGTTTGCGTAAGGGAGACTGCCCTGTGTAAGCGAATCTAATTGCACAGTGTCCCACATAATCTATGTTCAATATTTCGTGGTGTGGTGTGAGAGAGAGGGCCTGGCGTAAGGCGTCTAGTGTGAAGTCCAAGGTCTGGCTTGACGTAAACGGCCTGTTCTAAGGGAGAACAGAGGATGCATCTTCTCTGTTGAACTCTTGCTGTCCTCGGTTTTGATAGAGTAGATTGCATCAATCTTCCATTGCATTCATGTGCATAGACCTTGTTTACTAGATGAAATCAGGTAAGAAGGTCGAGAGATAGAAGCCTTATCTGCGCGTCCTGGTTTTTCGTCACACCTAACCATATAAAAAGGATCGCCCAGGAAACAACCTACATGTCAGGCCAGAATCAAAGAAAAGGAACAATGCAGACGGCTTCCTGGAAGGGACAAATGGGTTCTCGCATAGATTTCGCATAGTCAACTTCGCTCTTGTGCCCTGTATTGCGAGATTGCTTATCGAAGTGTTGATTACTAGCCCTATCCCTAGTAAGCTCCACTTCTTTTCCAAACAGACACATTTGAATCAACTTACAGTAATTAGTTAGCTTACGCGAGTAGTAGATTTGCA